TGGGTCTCTGAAATTTTGGGTCCTGATTTTTTTTATTTCTTTATGTATTCTACATAGGAATCATTTGTCTGAGGGATAGATGGCTAATTTTTTATTAGCAATTTGTAATTATTTCTGTTGGTGTTTTCTATCGATGGGCAAAGTTTTTCAATGAGATGAGATCCCGGCTGTTGATTCTTTGAACTATTTACTGTGCAATTGGTTTTTGTTCATGAACTCTCTGCCTACCTCATGTCCTCATAATTTTTATTTACATTCTCTTCCAGTAGATTTAGTGTTTGCTTTTTGATATTTAGATCTTTGATCAATTTTTACTTTAGTGCAGTGCATGGTGATAACCTTGGGCCCATTTTTAATCTTTGACACATGAAGTACCAATTTCTTCATTACTATTTATTAAAGGGGCTACCTTACTTCCAGTGAGCATGTTGGACCCTTGACAAAATAAAAGGTGCTGGAGTGTGTTTGTAGTTGTGTCTGAACCTCCTAATTTGTACCATTGATCCATAGGTCTGTTTGTTTTTTTCTTTTTTCTGCCAGCACTCTGCTGATTTTATCACAGTAGCTTTGTAGTATAATTTCAAGTCAGGGGTAGGGATGCCTCCTGCCTTGGCTTTGTTGTAAGTGATTGCTTTTGTTGTTATTGGTCTGTTCTGGTTGCAGATGAATTTTAGGAATTTTCTTTTAGTATCGGGAATCACACTCAGGACTTTGAGCTTTCCAAGCTGGTGCTTGGCGACTGAGCTATACCTCCAGCCCTAATAATGTTTTCTTTAGATCTGTGAGGTATACTAATGGTATGCTGATCAGGATCGCATTGAGTCTGTATAACAGTTTTGAAAGTATGACTATTTTCACAATGTTGGTTCATCCTATCCATGACTAAGGAATATCTTTACATTTTTTCTAGTTAATCTATTTGTGAGAATGTTGTATCAAAGGCTCCCATTGCAGTTGTGTTAGTGCTTATTTTATTTTTCCTGTCTGCTAAAATTTGTCTTATATAGATGAGTGCTTCTGCCTTTGGTTCATCTGTACTTTTGATCATTATGTGTCCCTGTGGATGTATTCCCCAAACAAGGATGTAGTGACATTCTTCATCTCTTTTGATCATTCTTCGCTTCAAGTTCACATTGTTCACAAACAACATAGCTCCCCCTGCTTTTCACTGGGTTCCTGTGGCATGCAGTATTTTTTTTTCCATCCTTTGAATTTTAATCTGTGAATCCTTTTGAATTAAAAGTTTTTCTTACATACAGTATTTTCAGATTTTGTTTCTTATCTTTTCTGCCAGTCTATTTCTGTTGACTGATGAAGAGAAAACATTTACATTAATGGTTATCACTTATATGTATTATCTTATCTTTGTCATGTTATTTTCCTCTTGTTCGTTCCCTACTTTTTGCCTCTGTTTAATTATTTGTACTGTTTGGTGGCTCCTTTCTTCTGTTGTTCATAGATTTGTGCTCATTTTTATCTCTAGAATATCTGTCAGTACTCTTTGTAGAGTTGGTTGGTTGTCATGAGTTTCTTTCTTGTGGAATTATTTTTCCATAATTTTGAAAGATAGTTTTTCAGGGTGCATCGTTATTTGTTGGAAGTTGTTTCTTATTCAGATCTGAAATACTTCATTGCAAGCTCCCCTTGACTTACTTGTTTTTGTTGAGATATCTGCCGTGATTCTGATGGAATATCCTCTACAGGCGATCTACTTCTTTTCTCTGACACCTTTTTTTAAATGTATTTGGTGCAGGGTCTCACTACACAACTCAGACTCATAGTGAGCCCCCTGTTTTCAACTTCCCCAGAACTGAGGCTGCAGGTGTGTGCCACCACGCCCAGTCTAGTAGCTGGCTCAGTGCACACGAAGGTGGCCTGTACAGCATGTAGTGCTGGGGATTGAAACTAGGTCTCTGCACTTGCCTAAACAGGCACTTATTCTGCTGAGCTATCTCACTGACCTTCTGTACCAGCTCATAGTACTGTGTTCTCTTGCTGAATTTCTTGGGCTTTGATTATTATATAACTGGGTATATGTTTATTTTGGTTATGGATAATTGGAGTTCTATATGCCTCAGTTACGGTAGGTCAGACTGTTTTCCTATGCTTCAGACATTTTTTGATACTCTTTCTCCAAATAGCCTTTATGTAGTTCGTGTCGATTCCTTTTTGTTGACACCTGTCTTACATCGTTTTGCTTTGCATCATCTTTCAGCTCTTGGATATTTATTTCCTGGTTCCTCATTAAATTTGAGAGATCTTTCCTTTTGCTCTCACTAGCTGCATTTCTGTCATCCAGGTCTGAACATCTACCTTCAGTTTCATTCAAGCAGTTGTGTCAGATCTCAATGGAATTTTTAACTTTCTGGATATCTCTTTACATATGATCTTTGTGTTCTAATTTTCCCTATACTGATCATTGAAGGTTTCCATCATTTTTCTGTGTTCCTGTGATTTTTTAGCTATATCTTCTCTAGATATGCTAAGCAATTCTTTTTCTATTGTCATTTCATGTTTACCTGAGAGATTATTTCTGATCTGATATTTTCTATAGATTTATGGAGTTATTATTCCTTTATTTCATTGGCTATCATTTCTGAAATTTCATTTATGTAACCTTCAAGTTCTTCTATGTTGCTGTCACCTGGACTTGGTTTGGGTGGGCTGGATGTCTGAGATTTCATTTTGCTCCTTTGTTTTGTCATTTATATTTAAGATCTTTTTCTTCTGTTTTCTCTGGAGATGCTTGTGAGTATTGGTAGTAGGAAGCTATATCACGAATTTCAGAGCTTCTCCAGGAATCGTCTGCACTTAAGGAAAATGAGTTGAAATATATTGGATCAGGGCCTATCATAATAACGCTATTAAAAAAACAGGAAAAACTAGTAAAAATAAAATCTTTAGAAACTACATAGAATTTAATTAAAAATGATAAGAATTTAACAATGGTAGTTATATTGTATAAGGTTGACTTCAAATTAGTTGTTTAGATTACCAAATATAACCATTCATAATTGGTTAAAAATTAAAAAGAAAAAAAAATAAACATTAATTGTTCCCTTTAATAGGTCATTAGTCAACAGCAATGCAACTATCTAAGCTATCCTGTGTATAGACGTATATTTTTCCTTTCATTATTTTTTCTTTTCACCCTTACTTTATCTCAGTTATTCCTTCCATGTGAACACTTTATTTTCCTTTCACAGTATCTATTGTACCCTTTGGATTTTATTTACTCTTTCAGGTTCTTGCACTAGGAAGACAATACGATGGTTGCACATGAAATTATGATTCATTTCACCTATGACTATGGACTCTAGTTGCATCCATTTACCCATAAAAGCTTTGAGTTTGTCTATTTTTATAGCTAAGAAGTATTCCATTATATAAAAATGCCACATCTTTTTTAGCTATTCCTCAGTTAATGGGCATTTAGGTTGTTTGCAAGATTTAAGTATGGTAAATTGTGCTGCTATAAATGTGGGTGTATGTATATTACTGTGACATGATATTTTCAGTTATTCTGGGAAAGTACACAGGAGGGGAGTATCTGGGTTGAATGGAACCTCTAATCCTAATATTTTGAGGAATCTCCATACTGATTTCACAGTAACCACTTCTTAATTTCTAAAACCATCCTATTTGTTTTGTTACATCCCATTCACAAATACTAGATTTGAGGATCCTTCACTGCACTTAAAACACAATTCAATAAAGATAATAGTCTAACCCAAGTAAGAGAAGAAAGTTTGAGTTTGACAACTCATGTATTTAGGTGGAAAACTCAATATTCTCAAATATGTTTATGTTCTATAGTATACAATTTTGAAATATCCAGGTTAATGAATACATAAACATTTTCTTCTAAAAATGTCTGTGTATAATTTTTTAAACTCATTTGATTCTACATATTATTTTGTTATATAATTATTTTAGTTAGTTTTCTCCCATTGATAAGACAAAAGGTACCCAACACCCAATATTAAAGGAGGACAGCTTTATTTCTTTCATAGCTTGTAGAGGTTTTCTTTCATAATCATCTGTCTCCAAAGCCAGCTGATAGGAGAAGGCAAAAATTAATGGTGGTGGAAAACAGCAAAAGCAAGAAAGCCAAAGGGTCATCATGCCTCATTCTGTCCTTTATGTTGTAGTCACACACACCTCCACCCAGGTCAGCTGTAGCGTTCACAAGCTCTCCATGCACCGCTCTTGCACAGGCTCAGGAAGCTTACAAAATGAGGATCCTGGATGCCTCCTCAGTCACTTAGCTAAACTAAACTTCTCAGGTTGACACAACGAATCAAGAATTACATCTTTGACACTGAAGAAATGTGCTAGGGCATGTTCTCTACAACTCAGGATATAGAACTCCTGAGGTACCTAATTAAGCTTCTAAACTTCCCAAATTGACACAATGTATGAAGTATTACAGTTATTATACAAATATTAAAATTTCATTATATCTTAGAATTTTTTCACACTCTGAAGATTTTACACTTTCAGCCCAACTTTATTTTGACTAGTTGAGTTTCAAATGCTAGTGTGAGGATATTAGGCCAACACCTTACAAATCGGAAAATAAACTTTTTCTCAAAGTATTCATACTTTAATGTTAAAAGTTTATCCTTATAAAAATAAAAAATTCTTTTCATCTTTAACTGATCACCTATAAATAACCCGTCAATTTAAGAACAAATACTAAGACCTAGATAATAAAGTCTAAGTTTACATTGAGGCTCATCCTTTGTGCTGGTTATTTAGATTTTGACAAATCCAAGATGGCATGCATTCAACTAATAAATTATTTCTTAGAATAATCTATCTACAGTGAAAATTCGGCTGAGTTTTGGGGCTATAAATGTTGCCTCCACTTCCCTACTTCTAAAAAATTTGAGTGAAAGGAAATACAGAAGTCTTTTTCAGCTTTGCTAAATTACTTCAAAGTAAGGGACAAAGAGAAATTTGTCACACAGATTCCTGTTCTCATAAAAGCCTAAACCATGGTAGAATTCAAGGATGTAGGAACAGAAATGAATTCTGACAGTATATTAAATCATGGAATGAAGGTACTTGAAAGGAACAAGCAGTGAGGAAGTACGCTAAATCACATAACTCAAAAGTGCCTTGCTCTTCAGCACTGATCTTTGGTCACTAATTTGGATTTCCTGGCTATAGTGCAATTTGTACCCCAGGCAACAGAAAGCAGGTGTGGGTATGAGTTTCAGAGCACATAACTGGTACACGGAGAATACAGATATACAGTGAATGTCCTGTGGCTGCAACTCATGGGCCTGCCTTCTTTTGGAAGAATAATGCCCAGTATTTCTTGACCGAGCTTGTGGCTTTTCAGACTATTTCAAAAGAATCCTAACATTAAGTGCCCTTGTACAAACTATTAGCAACTCCACTAATGGCATCTATGCCAGTGGTTTATTGACAAAGACTTGGGAACACATCTGCCCAGGCGGAGGTGGCCCCTGGGATGTAGCTATCAGTGGAACTGCATTATGGTGGCTCCAGGTGGAGAAAATGCTACTCAATCATAATTGCTGCCTTCTATTTTCCTCCTGGATAGAAGACCTCAGATGTAGAGGCCTGAGGGTAATGGCAGTAAACTTCTCCAGGGATATGGGTCAAGCAATGGTGACAGGAGACAGAAAATCAGACGGTCCACCTGAGTCAGAAAGTGTTAGGTAGAATCACACACATAAGGTATTTATTTATCTGGCTCAGATTGCAAGTTTCCTCTTCACTCAGCCCTCAGCTTTGAATACACATCTAAGATGTTGCCCTTGATTATTTTCTTCCTTCTCCTGCAGCGTCCTGCCTTAGTGTATACTTTGGAAAATGAAGCCTGCCTTCTCCGAAGGAGCACCAGTGTGCGCAGGGATGGTGATGTGGTGATTGGGTGTTTCTTGCCTCTTTATTACTATATCTACTATACTGGTATCCTTGATATAAAGCCTGTTACAGACTTCTATTTCATTCAGTAAGTGTCTTCTTCATTTATTTGCTTTCTTGTGGATATTAGAATAATAATGGCTATGGATATGGATAATGGCTATAGATAGCTGCGTCAATATTCTCTATAGTACCACCTGTGCTGCCCACTCACATGTGTGCAAGAGGCCTGTTTATAAGTTTTCCTGGTCTGCTTTTTATACTTCTGCATGTGGGAAGACAATACTCTTTCTGTTTGTGTTCCTGGCTTCTTGTTCTCACTCATGGAACCGGAGCAGGACCTCACCATCGACCGTGGTCCAGGCTCTTCCTCCTTCCTTGATGCCACTGCACTGCATTAGTTGATGTCTTCCATCTCAATTGATCCCTTAGAGTGAACTGAATGCTAAATGGCTGTTACCAAATATCCCCTCAGACAATCAAGGACTTGCTGGTATTTCTCTAGATATGCATACAATCCCTTGCATTATTACAGACAGTCTTCTGATATCAACCCTTCTGGTTGGAATAACTTTGTCCTGTAAAATATTCAGTTGCTATTTCAAATGAAACTTAGGGTACCCTAGGACTCTTAGAGTTGCAAACTGGGCCCAGAGTAAGGGATGAATCATCCGTGAGACTTTTCCCTACCAATGCAGTTCTTCCTGAGATGAATGTGTGTGCCTTTTCTCTAATCAAGTACTACCTTATCAGGCCATTTTCAAAAATACAAGTTGTCATAGATGTGCTCAATTACAAACATATATATATTGTACTTATTTAAAAACATGCTTAATGAATTTTCCAAAGTGTCAGAGAATTCCAGCAAATGAGTTGTGTTTTTGTAAGAAAAGATGTCAGTAGAACAGTGGTTTATTGAGTCTTATTGAAAAAGCTGACCCACAGTGTTCCTGTGGCTGCTGCCCATATGAAGAATTAAAATTTAATACAGAAAGATCTTTCTTGGTCGTAACACAGTAAAACTGCCTTGATCTAAATATTGCACAACAGGATGCTTGGCTGACATCCTGATATGAGCAGAAACTCCTTGTTCACCTGGCCATATCTCAAGATGTGTTCTCCTACATGTGTAGAAAATGCTAAGCTTGCCTAAGCAGGTGCATTAGTCCACTGAGCTATCTTGCTGACCTCATAAAATGTGACCCTTTTTTTGTGGTATCAGGAATTGAACTCATGAACTTGCACTTGCCAAGCAAGTACTTATTCCATTGAGGTACCACCACAGCTCTTGGATTACTTTCATATCATATAAAATTATTTGGTATCTCTGGAATTTATTTTGTGATATATATGTATATTCATTTAATTTCAGTTTTCACAATAGTTTATTTTTCACTATGAAAAACTTAATTGATATTTAATGAATTTCAATGCAAATCTTTTGGCCTAAAGGATACATGATTATCAGATAGAGATAGAGAGAGAGAGAGCGAGAAATAAAGAGAGAGAGAGAGAGAGAGAGAGAGAGAGAGAGAGAGAGAGAGATAAGGACAGATAAATAACTTTTCAATAATCAGTCACATTGATCCATGTATTAGTTGCTTTCGCTCTAAATAACCTGCTTCTTTTATGTTCTCAATCTCACTACTTTCATAGATTTTGCAAATTTCAGAGCACTTGTGTAATATTTGTAACTGATATAAAATTTTTCTCCTAATGTTTATGAATAGTGGCAACATTGATAAAATAATTTAATATTAACATTTGTAAAGTATTCTTTTAGTGTTTTTAATCTCTTTACTAGAATTTTATGGCTTTAAAAATGTCTTATAAGTGATGTTAAGGCTGTTGCTGTACATGAATGATTTTCTCAAAAGATTTTCACCTATCAATTGTATATAAGGTATCTTTAATGTTCTCATTTACTTCCTTTCTGTTTGGGGCCTGTACCAGAATACTATTTAATATTTTAGTTGAATAATCTTATTCCCAATGGGATATTCACGCGTGATTCTTTCCACAATTATTTTTCTCTCCTACTTTGATGAATATTTATTCAATGATGTAGAAACTGTGGAGTGACACTAAACAACTCAGATGCTAACAAAGTAATCTTGTTTTGACAACTTTATCAATGAAAGTGCTTTTGATATACAACTTCTTTAAGAAGCTTCTTTCCATAACATTCAAATGAGATTGCATTTCATCAATAGTAGACTGAGCTTTCTTTACAGAAATCTCTCAGGAGGATAAAGGTAGAGAAATTATTTGTGTCCTAGATCCCAGGAAAGAGGGTGATTTGTATTTCTGTCCCTTACCCACCTGCATTGTGACTCACTGTTTTATTCTTTAAGAAAAACCTAGGTTTTGACTTCAAATGATTTTAGTTTTATCTTTAATTATCAGATACTATTATGTATATTCATAGATACAATGTATTATGCCTCTAATATACACATTGCCTACTAGTTACATAAAGTGGACATTAGCCCAGTATTTCTTCACATGCATAAGTGTGGATAGCAATTGTGTTTTGCATAAATGGAACAAAAATATAATATAAATACCTTTTTCCTAAGATAAAAAATTACTCAGAAATGTATGCTTGTTAGTATTGAACACTATACAAACTTAAAAATTATATTATTTTTCTCCTTGCAAACAGTGACAATATATTAAGAGATTACATTTCTCAGCAACCTACATAGTGTAATTCTATACACAAATTTTGTTTTCAATATAAGCATATAGCAATATCATGTTAACTGTGCAAAAAACATAACAATGATTAAACAACTCGTCCAGGAATCTCGTGAGGCCACTCAGGTCCTTCATGAGAAATTCAAGCCCATCACTCTTTTCATTCCAACTCTCTTCTAAAAAATCAAGATTCTAACATCCTCATATCCATCCATAAATTCTAATTATATGAGTGTGATGAAAGAACACCAACATTCAGAGCATAAATGGTACTGGATTCAATGGGAAGGTAATGTTTGATTTTGCCTTTTCCCTGAAGACCTCCGTGCTCTCTGTGCAGGCACACACCTAACAACTACCAGAACTACCTGGCCTTCACTTTTGCCATAGAAGAGATCAACACGAATCCTCATCTTTTACCCAACATTACTCTGGGATACGAGTTCCATAACTTCATTTACAGTCATTGGAGGATGCTAGAGAATTCCTTCATTTTGCTCACAAGACAACACGAGATCCCTAACTACACATGTGGAACAGAAAGCAAGTGTGCAGCAGTCCTGACAGAAATGCCATGGGGAACCTCAGCTCAGATTGGACCACTGCTGGAGCTCTACAGATTTCCACAGGTGAGAGTTGGGGGCACAGAATTGATTGAAGAAAATCTAGGATGTTTCACCTACCTGGAACATAGTGGGTTAAAAGTAAGCCAAGGTTGAAGTTCTTTCAAAGTGTGTAATGCAACAGAGTACATACAAAGAGACTTAGTGGGTTACACAAAATTTCTTTCCGTTGATTGTTTTGTTTTTACCAAAGAGGAAGGAAATCAGGATAAAAGTACGTTATCTAGATACCTGAATATATTCATTGAACTTGTTTAAAAATCTCCTAAGGGAAATGTGTAGAAGGATGACAGGAAGGTGTTTTCTACAATTTAGAGATGCCACCCAGTACACTTGGGACTGCTATTGTGCTTTCCATCAACACATTAGTATACCACCCAGATTTCTTTGTCTTTTAGGTAACCTTTGACTCATTTGATCCTACGCTGATGGACACTGGCCTGTATCCTTCACTTCATCAGGTGGCCCCAAAGGACACATATCTGGCCCTTGCCATGGTGTCCTTGATGCTTCATTTCCACTGGACTTGGATTGGACTGCTCATCACAGAAAGCCAGAAGGGTCTTCAGTTTCTCTCAGATGTAAGAGCTGAGATGGACAGGAACAGAGTCTGTGTGGCCTTCATGAAAGTGTTGTCAAATGTGGCTGTGTTATATGTTCTATCTGAAAAGAAACATAAAATTCTGTCTGTAGATACTTCATCTGCTAATGTGGTGGTCATTTACTATGACACTGACAGTGCAAATGATATCAACTACACTATAATGCAAAACTTTGTGACATGGAAAGTTTGGGTGACAAACTCACAGTGGCATGCTGACCTGAATTGGAGAGATTTCATCCATGACCACTTCCATGGGATTTTTATTTTTTCACACCACCACGAAGAAATTTCACATTTCAAAAATTTTGTCCAACAAGCTACCCCTTTCAAATACCCAGAAGACACTTACCTCATTATGTATTGGTCCAAGAATTTCCATTGCTCATTCTCCGCGTCTGACTGTGCCTTAAAAAACTGTACCCCTAATGCCTCTCTGGCTTGGTTGCCTCTGAATCAGTTTGAAACAGCCATGAGTGATAGGAGCTACAATATATACAATGCTGTGTACGCTGTGGCCCAGGCCCTCCACGCAATGCTTTTTGAAGAAGTGCAAAGACCGCCACTGAGTAGCAGACAAGTGATGATGTTTTCCCCCTGGCAGGTAATGTGTCTTTCCTTGGATGGTAGGCAGTGTCATCAAGGTGCCTCTCTCAAGTTATTTTTTCTGCTTCATTCAAGATTATCAGGAACATTTCTACAAAATACTAGACATTGTGTATCACACTGTTTCTTAAAATGGTGATGTTTGATCTAAGTTAAAATGATCCTCCATCAGGGACACACTGACAAGGAGGTGGAGACAGTAGGCCAGCTCCTGGCTTCTGCATATGGGAGGTCAACACCTTACCCACAAAAGCATGTTCAATGCCTTTCTTAAAAGTCAACAGGAAAACCTATATTCACTTACAAAACCAGATGCCATTAAAAAAAAAAAAAAACAATGTGCAGAGTTAGTCTTCATTTGATTTTGCAAACTCTGCAGATATTAAACTCATTTTACTGGTAGATGCTATGGAAACGGTCAGATAGACAATCAAAGTTGTGGGTTTTAGATGCTTTGATTCCATGATTGATGGTTTTTCCTAACCCAATTGCATACCTAATTTAAATAGCTTTACATATAATATTATTTTCTTGAAACTGACATTTCCTGAACATAGTAACATTTTCGTCCTCAGACATTCACGTGCTCTGATTTATTAGCTACCAGCGTTAAAGTTCCCTGAGATAATGGGATTGAATATGCTTAGCAACTCCCCCACCCATGTTTTCTGTCTTTATCCTGCAGCCCTGTTCACATAGGATGGTCTCTCTCTCTCTCTTTTAGCTGCATTCCTTTCTGAAGTACATTCAATTCAACAATCCTGCTGGAGACCAGGTGAACTTGGATTGGAGAAGGAAAGTGGATTCAGAGTATGACCTTCTCAATTTTTGGAATTTTCCAGAAGGCCTTCGATTGAAGGTTAAACTAGGCATATTTTCTTCACATGCTCCCGATGGCCAAAAACTGACTTTATCTGAGTATATGATAGAGTGGGCCACAGAAGTTACAGAGGTGTGTTGCTCCTAGTCACAGTACTTACTAACCACAAGTAAGCAAATCCCCATTGTAGTAGGCTTTGGGTCCCTAATTTTTCTCATGCAATGATCACATGTGCAAATTAAATCAGTGTTCAATTCAAAAAAAATCATGAGCTTTAATATGATTGGGAAAGAAGTGCACTCAATTATATTTTTGCAAATATGTGTATCATACTGTTCAAAAATTAGGAATCTGACTACTTACTTTTGCTCATATATGCATACAAATTAAGTTTATCCCTCTAGTTCTCAAGAAGTAAGTAGAGTTCTAAGAAGTTACCACCATTTATCTTTTCCTTAGATTCCCCACTCAGTGTGCAGTGAGAGTTGCACTCCTGGATTTAGAAAAAGCCCTCAGGAGGGAAAGGCTGCCTGCTGTTTTGATTGCACCCCTTGTGCAGGCAACGAGATCACCAATGACACAGGTAGGAGCGCGTCCTGGGGACACAGTCTCGCTCTATGTTATATTCATTCCATCCATTCAGGAAATGAGAAAAGTTTTGAAGATGACACTGAAGGTAAAATTCTTCTTTTACTTATCAACTTATTTGTTATGCTGAGTGTTACTGTCTGGTTGGAAAGCACACTTTCCCCTTTGAAACATACACTCAAATTCCATTTCCTTTTATCACCTTCTTATTTATCAGTTTTCTTTTTTGCATTGATAAAAATTGAAGCAAGATTTCTTTCAATGGTCTATGTCTCCAGCTATTCTTTTTTTTATTATTTTGAAACAGAATATTAGGTTTGCCTAAGAAAACCTCAAAACTTCAATAAGACGGTCTCAGTTCTTTAATTTTCAAGAATAACATTTATGCACCACTACATATGCCTACACTGATTTTTCAAGTCCCATTAAAAGCATTATTTCCTCAAGCTCAGCCAGTTTTCCTATCCTACACCTACTAAGTTCCGTTTCTGTCATGAAACTTAACAGGCAGTAGCTTTAACAAATTTGTTTATATATTTTTTTTCAATTAAAGAAAGACTACAGTGAAGACACTTTCAGGCACACTTTGTTCCCCAGGGGCTGACACTATTCTGCACACAGAGCATGTGCTCAGAGACTGAGTCTGATTGGATATATGGGGATGCTTTTTATGTACAACATGTTTGTAACACAGCACAGTACAATTTCTGGGATTTAATCTCGATTCTCCTGGAATGCACAGGTGAATGAGAAAGACATCCTATGGAATGAGTTGGAGTCTGTACCATAGAACTGCAAGAATGATTTGCACGCAGAACATGAGGTTTAACAAGTGATAATACCTACATTTCTGGATGGCATCATGTGTATTTTCACAGAGGTGATAGCTTAGTATTATATCAGAATAAAAGGAAGTGACATAATCCTTGTTCGGATTAATAGAATTCGTCATAGGGAATAGCACATTCCTCATCCCTGTAACATTCAAATATGCTGAAAGAAAAACATGTCTTTATTAAATAAACAGATAAAATGAGAATGAGGATTAAAACATATTCCTTAAGTTTTATAGTAACCAAACGCTAATGACCATTGCATAGTGGAGTTATATTCCTATTGAATAATCTCTAATTTGGTTGTGGCTGACATAAATTTTGATTTCAGAACATATTCAGTAACATTTCAAATGTTCTCTGGAATGCAACAAAACTTGTTATGTATTATGTCATGTAATTTAAATATACATTCTCAAAAAGTATAAGAATATGTTAATTTTAAGTACTGTATGTGCACACATAGATAACAATGGCCCTACTAATACAGTTAATACATGCTCCTGGTATGTGTAATTCTCCATCATATATAGTGTATAGAATAGATCAAAGCACAAATTGAAAATCATGTAAAGCTGAAAAGTCTATGATTTGAAGGTAAAACTGCACTGAGATAAATAGGTATACTTCTGTGCTGTTCTCTATTTAAATAAAAAAGCTGGACTTGTGTGTTGAAACATTTTCATGTGAGGAAAAAATAAAGCAAATTGTACACAATAAAAGTGAAAGATGCGTTGCAGTCTGAAAGGATTTTTTTAAAAGATTAAGGCAGAGCTGGGTTTTGTGGCTCCTATCTGTAATACCTACACTAGGGAGGCTGAGGCATGAGGATCATTGTCAGTTCAAGACCAGCCTGGGCTACAAACAGAGCCGAAGGCCAGCCTGAACTGGATAGTGAGACTTGGTTTCAAAACTAAAAAAGGATAAAGAAGTTATGACACACAGAAAATGAATAGAATTAAATATGAATCGGGTAACAAAAACAGCAACCCTCCGTACAATTAATCAAGAAGAAAGAGAAAAATTGAGAACTAGCATAATAACAGGACAGAAAATTGTCCATTGGTACAGTTATCTACAAAACATTTCCTATGAAAATAGAAGTAATTTCACATCAATCTAAGTCTTGAAATCTATATGAACAGATGGAAACTTAGCAAAACAACCCTAAGAACTAATTAAAAATCTCCATAGTACTAATATGTCCACAGAACCGTGTGTGTTATAAGTTAGGTGTCTATGGTCTAATATTTCACTCTAAATTTTTGTTGATTACTAATATTAGCAGTGAAGTTTACAAGCATTCAAACACCTAGTAATACTGACCTCTTTCTTTCAGATAGAGGAAAATCTATTTGTTTTAAGGAAGGATCTCATTGATGTTACTCAGTTGAAAGTGCACATAAGAGAGACAAAGTTCACAGTCTGTTTTCCTTTTAAACTAGATTCACATATTCTGTCCCCAATTGAGCTGTGTACTCCAAGGACAGTACACCATAAGCAAACTCAGTTCATAAAATTATAATCAAATGTGCTAGATCCTGGACAAAGAAAAGCAATGCTGCTAAGTGGAGACAATGTGATAAAACTGTACATTACTGCGATTTACAAAGAACCGAGAAGTGTGTTGCCTACTGAAGGAGGAGTAGGAGAAGTCTCTGCCACCAAAAATGATGTCTATATTATCCTACAGCACACTTTAAAATTTGTGTCTTTTCTTTCTTTCTTTCTTTCTTTCTTTCTTTCTTTCTTTCTTTCTTTCTTTCTTTCTTTCTTTCTTTCTTTTTTCCCGGTACTGGGATTGAACTCAGGACCCTGAACTTGCCAGGCAAGCACTTCTTCTACTGAGCTCTCTCCCCAGCCTGTGTAACACTCTACAGCATGGTCAAGGTAATGAAGAAAGCACCACAAAATAAAAATATATTAGAAAGGGATAAACATAAATGATTAGATTTTTCCAGGGATATAGTTTTCTTTTTTTTTTTCCACTTTCCGTGTTTCTTTCTCTTTTTTTTGAAAATTTTATTTTATTTTATTTTTTCCCATAATTTTATTGACAAACAAATAGCAATGAGACAGATTCAAATCAAATCGGTAGGACAGTTTCAATAATTAACACACTGCATACATTCTTCCTAATGGTTAAGTGCTGAACAAGAGGCGGACTTGATATCCTATTTACAAACATCATTAGAACGAATCATTCGATTCATTAAGAGAATGTAACTATATGTCTATTCTAACCACTTTGAATATGCAGATACAAAATGGACATTCATCTCTATACCATTTTTTGTTAAATTTTGATTTTGAATATTATAGGTGTGTAAACTCAGCAAAAATTCTAAAAGAGTCCAAACCGTTGTGAGTGAATCAAAATTATATTTGGCTTCATGGTTACGGAATACAAGACTATTACAAAAGACTGATAACCTGTTTCCATACCTCAGTCATAAGGCACTCATAGATAAAATTTTGAAAGCTGATGTTTGTAATATTTAAAAGCATTAAATATGTAATGATGAATCCTATAATTGTTTTAAAAGATACCAAAATTAAACTACTAAAATACACCATTCACATTAAAAACTAATAAAGTGGTTGCATATAACACATTCAGAGATGTAGAGACTAAAGAACGCAACTACTTCTCATTCAATATGCTTCCTCATATGCATTTTGCTGTAATTTAGGAAATTGTGGTGGCTTCCTAATCATTCATAAAGATTTGATTTAAATCAAATAAAAGTAGGTGAAGTACATAATCAAGGTAAATCATTCTTTGTAAAAATACAAAGTTTTTATGAATATGCCAGATTTAAAAGAATACATAAATATTGATCAGTATTATGTAGGAGTTATTCTGTGTACACCATCCTTTTATTTTTTGTCTAGAGAAAAAGGAAAAAGTAAGGTATGGTCATGCATGTCTGGGAACATGACTCTGAAAGGCTGAGGCAAGAAGATGGTGCTGAAACATACCCCGAGGAATTAGTAACTTAATGAGACACTTTCTCAAAATAAAATTTAAAAGGGTTGGGATTATATCCCTGTTGATGGTATCTGAGTTCAGTCCCACAGACTGAAAAAGAAAGAGAAAGAAAAACAAAAAATAATTGAATATTGGTGTAGTAATTCAAGTCCAGTGCGTCTCTGGTGATGGGTTTGTGAATAAATAAAAAAATAAACAAAGTTATGTAGGCAAGTTATGCTTTTAATCTTGCTAGATATGGAACAGTGTGTGAAGTGTCCAGATGCTCAGTATGCCAACACTCGGAGAAACAACTGCTTGGGAAAAACTGTGACTTTTCTGGCTTATGAAGACCCCATAGGGAAGTTTCTGGCTGGCACTGCCCTAAGTCTCACTGTCCTCACAGCTTTGGTGCTAGCCCTCTTTCTGAAGCACCAAGACACACCCATTGTCAAGGCTAACAACCGGGCCCTGAGTTACACCCTGCTCATCTCCCTCATCTGCTGTTTCCTCTGCTCCTTGCTCTTCATTGGCAAGCCCTGGCCAGCCACTTGCATCTTCCAGCAAACTACGTTTGCAGTTGTGTTCACTGTGGCTGTTGCCACTGTCTTGGCCAAAACTATGACTGTAGTTCTGGCCTTTAAGGTCACTGGTCCAAGCAGGAGAATGAGGCAGTTGCTGGTGTCAGGGGCACCAAACTTCATCATCCCCATCTGCTCCTTGATCCAACTCACTCTATGTGGCATCTGGATGGGGACAAATCCACCCTACATAGACACAGATGCACACTCTGAACATGGCCACATCATAATCGTGTGCAACAAGGGCTCCCTCACTGCCTTCTACTGTGTCCTGGGATACCTGGGCTCTCTGGCCATGGTGAGCTTCACTGTGGCTTTCCTGGCCAGGAACCTGCCTGAAACCTTCAATGAAGCCAAGTTCCTGACCTTCAGTATGCTGGTGTTCTGCAGTGTGTGGGTCACCTTCCTGCCTGTGTACCACAGCAGCAAGGGGAAGGCCATGGTGGTCATGGAGGTCTTCTCCATCTTGGCCTCCAGTGCAGGGCTGCTGGGCTGCATCTTTGCCCCCAAGTGCTACATTATTCTTTTAAGACCAGAGAGAAATTCTCTTTCTGGGTTCAAAAGTAAAACACATTCTGGAAGAGAAAAGTCTTCTTAAATTATCCAGTCTTATATTTAACACAGTGTGCAATTTACTACAATAAAGGACTATCATTTATTTCTTTAAATGCCTTACACATCAATTGTCCATAACTATAAATTTTCAATTAGAATTTTATTGTACTTTGTTTACTTGATTCCACAATGAATCCTATTATTTTTAATGTATTATTCTCTTTTTTTTTTGTTTTCCTCTTGAATTTGGCAGCACTACAATCAATTTTAATACACTAACTTTATTCTTCAGATAAGTTAATTCTGATTCCCCTAACCTATTCAAGAATTTCTCGCACATTTGTCTTTAATTTTGCAGAAACTTCTGTTAATATGTCCTAACAACTATTGTCGACTTTAAGACGGTATAGCATTAAATGCAGACTTTAACTTTGGTCTGAACTTGTTAAAGTGTAGTAGTCATATTTCCTATGTAGGATTTTTTAATCTCTCCATGTACCTTGTTTAATAATCCTTTGTTAATATGAATCATTTATCTGTGTATCTAGGTTTTGTATTGTACACAAATTTTATATAAATCAGTGGGGAAAAGAAACCATGCTGTCTGGCTGCATTCACTTTGGAGTGGAGAATGGGGATTTGATAGGGAGGGAGGACACTTCTGTAAACTTTCCCAGGCCCTTGGGGTGCAAGGAGGAGCAAAGAGGGGGAAAGGGAAAGGCCAGCCTTCTCCTGGTTGAAACACACGGCCCCTTCACCTGGGATGAAAGTGAAACAGGTTCTTTTACTACTACCAATTCATGGAGGTTGTATGTCACCTTAAGTACCTTAAATATTGCTAAACAAAATGAGCCTTGTAACGACATGAGAATTCGATTTTGCAAAGATGTCTGATACCTTCCATTTTCCTGGTTACCATACATTATGACCCATGCATTTGTCATGAGAACCTATTTTGTTTTCATAATATTTTTTTCTTTGAAAACAAGAACAGTGGCTGGGGAGATGGCTCAGTGGAATAAGCGCTTTCCTGGCAAGCTCAAGGGCCTGAGTTCAATCCAATCCCAGGTTTCATAAAAAGAAAAGAAAAAAGAAAAAAAAAAAAAAGAAAACAAGAAAGCATATATATGCCTACTGCAAGAGAAATCCATTATTTTAATTATATCAAGTATGATAATGAAGTTTTATTTTAAGGAAGGAAATTTTTGCAAAAT